TTGGTTCAGTCAATGGAGCATCGGTCTGAGGACTGAAGGGTCCCAGGTTCAATTCCGGTCAAGGGCATGTACTTTGGTTGCGGGCACATCCCCGGTAGGGGGTGTGCAAGAGGCAGCTGATCGATGTTTCTAGCTCTTTATCCCTTCCCCTTACTCTCTGTAAAAAATCAATAAAATATATATATATAAAATAAAAAGAGGACATTAGATAAATCTTAGAACACATGTAAGTAAAGTACTAGAATCAAAAGAGGGCTCAGACCTCACACAAAATTACCTCTAACTTTTATGCTATCCACTAAGTATTAATATTATTTTTTTCTCTTGACTTGATTCTTCAAAGAGATACTTAAAACATATATGGGTAATTTTTGGCAGTGTGGATGTGTTACATTCATGCCAGGTCGTATTCTAATGAATAATCCCTTTAAAAGTTATATTCCGATCCAATGGACTTCAGTTTGGGTGGGGGTGTCAGCACTGCCATCCTCTGCGCGGTGCTGGGAAGGGGCTGACGAAGACCCTGTCTCCGTGTTGGGTGGCGAGCTGCTCGGGGCTGAGGAACTTCAGAAAGAGAAGGAGGTTTTAGAATATCCACAGCGCCCACTCTTTGTTGTTTTTAGTGCTAAGAACTCAAAGCTCCCCTGCCACTCTGAAAGCAGCCCCTGCTTCTATCTGCCATTAGAGGAGGGATTTTGCAAGTCAAGAATCCAGATCTCCCACTAATCTTGGAACCAGCTGAGAGCTTGCAAATAGCATGAAAAAAAAAATTATATTCACCTCCACAGGTGAATTAGGAAGGCAACGTCAAGGTTGCTGTCCTGAGGCTTGATGTTAAGAAGATTGTGTCTAGGCGGTGTCATGATCTATAATTTTGTTCTCTCGTTGGGCTCCTTAAGTGACTTCTGAGAAGCTGCTTATGTTAAAAAAGAAAGAAAAGAAAAGAAAAGAAAAGAAAAGAAAAGAAAAGAAAAGAAGAAGAAAATAAAAAGAAAAGAAAAGAAAAGCAAACGAAAATAAAAAGTGAAAAGAGAGAAAGGGAAGGGAAGGTAAGGGAAGGGAAGGGAGGAAGGGATGAAGGGAAGGGAGGAAGGGAAGGGAAGGGAAGGGGGGAAGGAAGGAAGAGGGCGTGGAAGGGAAGGGAAGGAAGTTAAGGTCAAGTGTAGGTAAAGTCAAGATTCAGCAAATAATGAAAGCGAATACTACGTACGAAAACAGCAATCCAGACACGAAGAATCCTGCAAGCACACGGAAAATGAGAAATCAGCTCCTGTCCAAGTTCTGATCAAATTCTCTGCAAAGCCACCACCTGCACCCGGACACAAGGACCACAGCCTCTGAAAACCTAGCCCTCGACCTGGGACAGCCACTGTGCCCACTGTGTCTGTGAGCTTCTGGAAGGCAGGGCCTGGGACGGAATCAGCCTGGGCTCTCGCAGGCCCGCACTCCAACACCTCTGGTCCATGTAGTTAAGAGTCCACCTGCCGAACTGTCTCTTTTTACATCAAAATGCTCGGCGATAGAAGTCAAAAGGAAGGGAACACTCCACATGTCTGCATCCTTGGTTCTGAATCGGGAACTCCAGAGACCTATGGCTGTTGGCTATCTGAAATAAACATGCCAGCAACCTGCCCTGGAGGAAACAGCAGACCTAGTGGGAAGAGATGCAGCCTAGCACTCAGTGTGGAGGGGAAGATGGTTAGTCCGATGTTAAGTAAAAGACACAGAGCAAAGTGCAATGTTGACTCCACGCCTGCTGCCCTTTTGACTGCATTCTCTGCTCATATCACTAGCAACTGAAGAGAGAGTGTCTGAGGCTGTGGTCCATGTATGCTTTACAAACTCATATGAATTCCAAATTAAAATAGAGGACATTAGCCGAAACCGGATGGTCCACAATGGGCAATAGTTGTCGGAGGCCATTTTTCAGGGTTAATTACTTTGGCTTTCTCTCTCTCTCTCTCTCTCTCTCTCTCTCTCTCTCTCTCTCTCTCTCTCTCTCTTTCTCTCTCTCTCTCTCCCTCCCTCCCTCCCTCCCTCTCCTTTTCTTTTTTTGCTACAAAAATTACATTTTGTGGTTTTAGGAATTTATGAGGTTCTTTTCTTTATTCAGAAAATAGGATCCAGCGAGGACAGAATTCTACCAATTGAATTGCTACAGTTGTGTGCAAATGTGTGCCTGAGAGAAGCATTCCTGACAAAGTGACAATTTTGATGTGCCATCTTCAGCCTCTTTTAACAACCACTATGTCAAACGAGGTCATTTTCATGGGGGAATGGTTTAGAAAGCTTCCAGAAGAGCCAACTCCTTCTGAAAGTCTATCTATGCACTTCCTGTCTCTTCCATCTTTATCATCTCTGATTTGACTTCTGCAGTTAAGACTGGGCTGGCAGCCGAAATCGGTTTGGCTCAGTGGATAGAGCGTCGGCCTGTGGAGTGAAAGGTCCTCGGTTCGATTCCGGTCAAGGGCATGTACCTTGGTTGTGGGCACATGCCCTGGCAGCTGGTCGATGTTTCTCTCTCATCGATGTTTCTAACTCTCTATCTCTCTCCCTTCCACTCTGTAAAAAATCAATAAAATATATATTTTTTTAAAAAGACTGGGCTGCCGGGACCAGTTTGGCTCAGTGGATAGAGCGTCGGCCTGCGAACTGAAAGGTCCCGGGTTCGATTCCGGGCAAGGGCATGTACCTTGGTTGCGGCAGTAGGGGGTGTGCAAGGGGCAGCTGATCGATGATTCTCTCTCATCAATGTTTCTAACTCTCTATCCCTCTCTCTTTCTCTCTGTGAAAATCAATAAAATATATTAAAAAAAAAAAAAAAAGACTGGGCTGGCAGCTGGGAGGTTGAGACCAGCAGTTGAGCCCCTGTCCCCTGGGCAGGCAGCACTGGCGTTCGGCGTGGACCCAGGAAGAGCAGAAGAACGTACATAGGAAGTCAGTCGTTTGCATTTTTGAAATAAGCCAATTTAACAGTCACTTTTCTGACCAGAAATGTGTTTTTAAAAGAGAACACATATTGATAAGGGGAAATGCTCTCAGATTTTAGTCATTTTTGATTCATTGTTTGGCTTCATCAATTAATAGAGCACAGGAGTGTATTAATTAAGGTTAAAGTCAGAATTCTGAGGAACAAAAAAAAAAAATATCTACATGTGCACGTGGAAAGCATTCAACCTAGAAATCTTCTACTCAAGTGGTTTAGCAGCACTAATCATTATACTATTGGTCCTTTATTTTCATAGAACAGCCGATACAAAGAAATAATAAAGCACAAAGAAGGACGAAAGTTTAGTATTTTTCCAACTACCTGCATACTGAAAAAGAAGAAAAAAAAATTATTTGGATTTAAAAACAAATTTTTAAATAGCTAAAGTTGCCTTTTAAAGCACCTTAGATCATGTATTGAAGTAAATCATTTCTGACTTGGCATCCTTTGAATTTGGATAACTTTGAATTTGGATAACTTGGCATTTTCTTCATATTTTTTTTTTTTAGAGGATGTATTTTTCTTTGTTTGAGAATCTCATTTGTTTAAAAATTGTTTCTGAGTGATTCTTGGCCACCAACTCTTCCTGGGGTTTACTTGGCTCGGATCTGTCCAGAAGCTAATTCCGATTCTTCTGTCAAATGCTCCGCGGCACCGCGTCCCCGCTCTCCCGAAGGCCTGGCAGGCGCAGGTGAGCAGCTGACCGCACCGGGGATGGGGCTGCGCTTCCTTGGCAAGGAGACCGGCATCCTCGGATCGCCTGAATCTCGGGGTTCGCGTTTAACCCCGGGTTCTTTCACGGAAAGTAGGAGTGAAACCTCTTCCCCAAATAAGCCCAGGCTCTATTTCGGTTGCCTTCAGTCATCTGGGTGGGAACTGACTTATTTTAACGGAGCCCTTTGTGTAGGTGGGACTCCCTGGCTCCGGCTGAGGCTGATGGCAGGCTCAGGCCTGCCCGGCCTCTGGGGAGGATCCCTGTCACTCACAGTCCCTCAGCCCCTCCTTCTCAAAAGGCAGGACAGGGAGGGCCTCTGTGTCCTGTTGTCATCCGGGTATCAGGAACACGCACATGGACTTCCCGTTGTTGGTTAGAAAGGTGGGGCCATTAGAGAGATAGAATTCACCTCTGAGGCTTCGGAAATGTGGCTTCTCCATGAACCTCCTAGGATTAGATTTTGGATTTGGGTGCCCTCAGTCCTCAAGTCCCCCCCTGAACTACCTCCTGTGGGTTTCATGTGTCCAGGTTTTCCTACATGTCCTCGGAGAACACCATAGCACCTTGGGCTAGCTGTCACGGGCAATCCCCAAGTGCCCCAAGTCCATTTTGCGAAGGCTTTACGAGTCGCTGTTGAATCATACCGTTCCCACCATCGCTGATCTGCACACAGCAATACGCCTCCCTTGTTCAGACAGATTTTATTTATTTATTTTTAAATATATTTTATTGATTTTTTTGAGTTTTTACAGAGAGGGAGAGGGAAAGAGTGTTAATAAACATCGATGAGAGAGAAACATCCATCAGCTGCCTCTTGCACACCTCCAAATGGGGATGTGCCCCCAAACCAAGGTACATGCCCTTGATCGGAATCGAACTGGGGACCTCTCAGTCTGCAGGCTGATGATATATCCACTGAGCCAAACTGGTTAGGGCTCAGATGGATTTTAATGGCAACCCTCTTTCCTTGGGTGCCAAACTCCTCAAACCAACAATAACAACAACAACAAAAAAGCAACATAACATTGAAAGCTACCCATGTCCCCAACCAGTCTCTCTAGCTCACGTCTCCCCCAACTTGGGGGCACCAGCGTCCAGAGCAGCCCCTCTTTCATGCCTCCTGGAACCTGCCACACTCTCCCTGTCCCTGGGCCCCTGACCCTGTTCTTAAGACGAGGAGGGGGTGTGCTTTAGGGGCGGGAGCAGCAGGGCAGGCACGTGGTTGGGAACATGAAAGGCAGTTGATTCTGACAGCTCAGTCGCCGGCCCCCCCTCCAGGCTCTTGGACCGGCCTACCTTGGCATGCAGGCCGTGCGGTTTGTTGGAGAGGATGTCTGCAGCCTCCCTGCAGCGGGTGGAAAGGTTCAGGATGGCAGCAGCTGCTGCTATGTGGGTGTCTTCGCCGCACTGACCGTAGCTGTAAGAGCTGGCACGGCGAGGGCTCTGTGTGTGGGCGCCTGCACTCGGCAGTCCATTAGGAAATTTCCCTGGGTTTGAAAAATGCCTCGCTGCTGAAAAGAGATTTGATTAGCAATTGCATGTAACGTGGTGTGCCGGTCATTAAACAGGTTTGTTCTAAAGATATAACTTCTTGCATTAAAATATGTGAAGAATAGATTAGAGCACGATCCATTATGCACTTGGTACATTCAAGGAAGGTCATTCAGACGTGTTTTCACAGGAGTTCACAGATCAAATGGTGTGATTGCTGGAGGAAAAAAAAAAAAGGCCTATTCTCTTAACATTTTTTGTATTTATACACCTTATGGCAAAAACTCCAGAGCTAATATTATGGGGCAGCTTCACTGGAAGCAATTGGGGCAAAGGTTGTATATTAAAAACCACTCCAGCCGAAACCAGATTGGCTCAGTGGATAGAACGTCGGCCTGCAGACCCAAGGGTCCCAGGTTTTATTCCAGTCAAGGGCATGTACCTTGGTTGCGGGCACATCCCCAATAGGGGGTGTGTAGGAGGCAGCTGATTGATGTTTCTCTCTCATCAGTGTTTCTAACTCTCTCTCTCTCTCTCTCTCTCTCTTCCTCTCTGTAAAAAAATCAATACAAATATATATTTTTAAAAAAACACTCCAGCAAAAACACATCAGGGCCTACAGAGGGCTAAGGCTTGTACATCTGTAAACTGTGTGTGTATGGACAAGTCATTCCAGTAGAGGAAATATATGTACATCCTTTCAATATTTGCTTTCACAATAACGCGTTATATTCGGATGTGGAATTGCATTTTTGTTTATTCGATACCCAGGTTTGCCTTGTGCTTAAACCAGGAGAAGTCGTTCTTCCTCCAACTAGATGGAACTAACTAGGTGGCAGCGTCTTTAGTGAGCTGGCATATTCTGGTAGCACATGAGGAGCGAAGGACAGAGAGAATGTCCTCAAGGTGCACGGAAAGGCGGAGTCTCTGTTTTCTGTTTCTGTGGTGGGTACCAAGGCATGGCTGAGAGATAGAATTATACATGCTTTCTCTCCCCTGGGTGTGTATAAACATCACTCAAGATTACAGGAAGACACACCCAAGATGTAATGGTGGATTATATAAAGGCATTGAGTTATTCATTTTGTTGTCCATATTGTTCATGTTAAATGTTTTATCATTATTTTTATAAAATGAAATTTGAAAATGTACCAAATGTTATCCCTACGTAAAATATAAAAATATCACTGGACATTTCACATTTCTAAACAATATTGATATTATGTGAGTATACAGATAGCTCTTAGTAACTAGCTTTACCAGAATTAAACAGATGTACACGGGTGTATGTTGCATATTTTTAGTGAAACTGTACATAAAATTGCATAGGTAGATACAAAACATACTCTGTGTGTGTTTGTGTGATATTTTTTCCTTAATCTAACAGGTTTTCAGTGGTTATTTATGGTGTCTGGAACCTATTTTTGGTAAGAATAGGCAAAGCATATTTTGGAGTCTAATCTCCTTCTCATTGGTAGCAGACTCATTTCAAGCCTGGTTTTATCCACTGTTGGGCTTTATGCAGCATCCTAGTTCTTTGAAAGAGGAGGTCAGTATCACAGAATGAGCAAAGATTCTGTGCTCTAGGAGCACTCAGTCTTGGGGAAGAGGTGTGAGATCAAAGGATTTCATAGACTTGTGGAATATTGTATATAACTCATGGTCTATGGAGGACTCAAAGTGGGAAATTAGTTCGCTTCTTCTCTATAATGAAAAAAATCATTCCTGGCTTTATTGCCATTGTCAACTTTCTCCCTTTTCATTAAAATATTCAAAGACTCTAAACAACTTGAAAAATAATGTGTTAGGAAAACTGTCAAGTTTTATATGTTAGAGTATCTTTGAGTTATGAACACATCTTCCATGTGGCTGTGTTAGCATTAGAGTATTAACACATTTTAAATGTTTCTATATAAATTCTTCAAATTGTGAGTAAATATCTCCATAGCCACACACATTTTTCCCCAGTAAGTTGTGTTTCTTCTTAGACTTTTCACTTTTTCTCTTACTTTCAGTCTGAACACTTTCGCTAATTAAGTAATGTTTTAAGTAGTATTTCAATATTTTACCTATTATATTTTCAAAATTTCACTCTCAGTCAAATTTACTCTCTTATAATAGCTATTACCATTTTCAATATGTTAATCCCAAATCCAGCCAAATGTGAATTAAATATTTCTTTAGAAAATTGTATTCAGACTCAATAATAGTACCACATTAATAGAATAATTCATTCATTAATCACCATATTCAGTGTAACTTCATATAAAATCAGCAACACTCATCAATTTATCGTTGTTTCTGTTATTTTAATGTATAATATATTTTCTCTCCTCCCAGCAATGAGTAGCATATTTAAGTACACACACCCCCAAACACACACACACACACACACACACATACCATATACATTTTTTTGGAATAAGCATTAGAATTCAAAGCTTACATTCAGGAAACGGTGGTGGTTTTTGTCCTTGACCTGTTTGTATTAGGGGGCGTTTACCAAACACCTGTGCATCGAAGCTGGCATAATCAAATGGCACTTTCCCAAATTTCTCTTGTTCTTTTGACACCGTGGCTCTGGGGGAGGCGATGGCATGTGATCGGAAGTTGAATTCTATCTGCTTCACCACGCTCGTCCTGAAGAGTTTGGAAGAAAGATGGTGAAACTGTTGGTGGACACATCAGCCTCAGAACTAAAGCAGATCAGAGGTGGCATGGCTGCGGGTGGTACCCTTAGCGACACTGCACTGTGGGAAAGGCCTGTGGTCACAGCTCCGCACCCGGAGTGAGAGATAGGGAGGCGCTTTGGGCTCTGGGCAGCTAAGGCGAGGCTTCTTTCTGTATGTCCGCGTCTCCCATCGGTCAAAGAACGATGTACAATCTCCCATTCATCTATGCAGGTGCCACAAGGAGCAAGCATTTGGTGGCTGTTAGTACTTAGAGCTCCTTAGAGACAAGGTGTGCACATTCTGCTTGCGAGGACTGTTCATCAGATTAGCAGTGAAGAGTCATAATCATAACGTACAGCTAGTGAGGAACAGCCGCTGTGTTCTGCTCAGGAGACGCGGTGCTGGCCTCTGCCGTGCTCAGCAGAACTGGCAGGAGCCCAGCACCAACAGGGGCGGCAAAGGCACCGGGAAACTGACTCCTCAGTTGTGAGTTTCTTCTCGGGCTTTTCACCTTTCTTGCTAACTGCAGCCTGAATGTTTTTGCTAATTTACAAATAGTTTAAATAGCATTTCAATATTTTAGCTATTAAATTGGCACCGTTTCAATATGGATCTAAATTACTGTGTTGTCACAGCTATCACAGTTTTCAACAAAATTACCCCAATCTAAGCTCAATGTGAATTAACTATTCCTTTAGGATTATTGTATTTGGATTAAACAAGAAGGTATTTATGGAGTACCTATTCCAGCCAATGAAAACACAAATACCGTTGTGCTATGGTCTAGTGGTAAAAGAATTTAAACAAATATAGCCTTTATATATATATATATTGTAGATACGTAGATAGATAGATATAGATAGATACATAGATATATAGATATAGATAGATATACAAGGTGTCCCCAAAACATGTATACACTTTAACAGCTGGTAACTCACTTAATTTTCACTCTTTTTCAGGTTTAATTGATTTGAAATAATAGGTGAAGCCAGACTAAGCTTTGAACAGAGAAAATTTATCCACTAGACTTTTTTAAGGGGATACATAAAAGATGAAGTTTACAGTACAAAGCTGGCAACAGTTGACAAATTGAGGGCACACAAATCCCAAAGGAAATGCTTCCTGATGCATTTCTATATTTAATGCTAGTGCTTTGCATTATGAGCACTGTCTGGGCCAGAACAGTAATCAGTATGAAACAGGTGCTGACAAAAAAAAATTATTCATTTCTGTAGATTTTTTTAAATCTTCAAAATGAACGTATGTTAATAAACACTGACTTATTATCATTTAAAGTGTGTATACATTTCTGTGGGATACCTCTGCATATTTATATATGTGTGTCTCCTACCAAAACATGCCTGACTCATCAGAATGTCAAAGTTTTGATGATATTTCCTGGATTTATAAAAAACTTTTTTGCTGAAACATAAAAATATTTGAGTGATGAATTAATCTTGCTGTTGTATATAACTTGGCTTATACCCCTAATGGTGCTTGTGTTCCAGTCTAAAACAATATTTATTTTTTAAGAAATTAGCAAATTAAAACTGATGTTATTTTTATATTTAATAAATAACCTACTTAGGGAGAAACTAGATAATACAGTAATACTAAGAAGCTTGTTATGAAATATTAAGTTACTAGTTATTTGGTAATTCATGTACTTCATTTGACATACATTCTTCACTCATGGGATTTGAATGCCTACTTTGAATCTTTTAATTAAATCTATAGGATCACATATTAATAGAAGCCAAATCTCAAAAAAAAAAAAATTCCTACTATTTATTTTGCATTTCAGTGTCTCAGTAACAATGAAGATCTGATCATCTGTTTTCTTCCTGAAATCACTTTTCTTAGATATATAATTTTTGTATTACCTAAATGTATAACATCACATTAAGTGGCATCATATGTAGTTTACTACTTAGGAATAAATATAGTCTTCTAAACCACCAGAGATTGTGATGCACCTAGGGCCAATTAGATATATTTTATTGATAGTTCCAACTTACTCAATTAAATCTTTGTTTTAAAAAAGCCAAATGTGCATGTGTAAGAGAAGGATGAAAATATAGCATCGCGTAGTTTGAGTGACAGGAGTGGTTTATGGTGGCATTTTCTCTGGGGAAAAAGGTGAAGTCAATCATTAGGAAGACCATTGCTGACCAGTGGGATGGGTTGCCTTTACTGATGCAAATTTTTCATTAATATATGTTACCATATACTTTAGTTCTTCTAGATTCATCCATATTATGTTACCTTTGCATACAGATTAATTTCAAGTGAAACTTCTGGAGGATCTAGAAGTTCATGTAAGTGACAGTGTGACCAACTAGACCAGCCCCTCCAGAGGATGTTGGTGGCTGAGAATGAAGGTTGGGCCGTAGTGTGAACCAGCACACGAGAGACGGCAGACCCACTGTGCAGGAGCATGGCATGAATACAGTACCAGGTGTGTCATGGGAGGGTCCTACCTGTGAACCTGCTCAGAACACTGCCCTGTTTGGGAAGAATCAAACTGACTTTTGTCCTGGGACATGGCCAATTTTTCAGCTGCAGCGATGGGACAACCTGAAAGACTGTCAAAAAAAAAAAAATAATAAGGTAAGGATTGGAGTTAAAATAAAATAACATAATTTGCTTTGGCATGTACCTCATGTCATACCTGTCACACACTAAATATGAAGTCACATTAATAGCGTGCTTAACACAGTAAAGGGGTTTGCAAACTATAGTGTCAACATATGTCCTTCAACCGCATCTCAGAGGTGGTAGATAAACAAACTCATATTAAAAATCAAAATATTACTTAAGGAAGAAATAACTAAATTATCCTGAAACTTCTATAATATTTTAGGTGGGAAATGCTCACTCCAATTGCAATGTATCCAACTATAGATGTTAGCGTGATAACTCCGTGACTTATCTTCGGATCTTTAGGGACATGTTAGCGACTTCATGGGATGTCTTAGTTTAAATAGAAGATGAAGGTGTCTGGCAATATGCTTATGAGTCAAATAGTATCTCCAGACCACATAGTCTATACATAATACAAAATACACATAAAACAATGAGCATTTTCACCAAAAATATTTACATACAATATATATGTGTATATAAATGCACATATGTGTTTTAAGGTAGGTGAGATCTTAATGAGATGAATCTCCATGAAATGTAATAATGTTTAGCTTCATCCTAATGCATAGTCAAAACCACAGTATATGGAAGCCCTTGGGGTATTTCTTAGAATGGGGTTCAAGGTAACTCCTAAGCAATTCTTTTCCATATCAAAACGGCTATGGGTTCACAGCAAAAGAACTTGTTCTACTTGTATGACCATGTGAATGTGTAATCGTGGTCTTCAAATTTCACATTGGTGTTAGCATCCCTGACTGCTAAATGAACATTTCTAGGAAAGTAAATAATGAGGTCATTATTTTCATTCTGCACAAATTGAGAACACGTCTTATCTACTCCCAGTGATGAGGTATCTGATACCGATGCCGTGATTTGGATAACACATGGCTAGTTTCTTATTTTCCTGGGGGAAAGTGCCCCTCACTTCCTGTCTGTGATGTGAAAGGTTAGCAGCGCACCACCGTTACCTCCTGTGGGTGTTCCGGTTGCTGTTCACATGCCCTCTTCCTGTGCATCCTGGGGTGGGGCACTTGAGCACATTTTCATGCATGGCAAGAACTAGGCCCAGGATGTAGCATAAAAGGAAAAAAATAACATGCTGTAAGCACATAACACAGGAACAAGAGGACTTCTCAAGTTCTCGTTCAAATGAATTCAGTCACATAACCCACTCTGCTTCCTCCCCTTAGGTACTGGGGTTGAAGTAAATGAGCACTTAAGGACTTCAACAATTAAATTCAGCAAGCTGGCCCAAGTGTGAGGTCTTCTGAACCTCACATTATGGTTAACGCTAGACTTACATGAGACCACTCTGCTTATATTTAACTTAAACTGAAAAGCTTATATTCTTCCTTTTATATTTATGTGCTTTTTCCTTGGAGTGAATGGAAAACATTATTTATCAAATAGTTGTTCTTTCTATCATTTCCCCACAGTGTGAAAGTTCCTAAGAGACATTATTTTGATTCTTTGTCCATCACCCCCCGCCCCACGCCTCACCCTCACTGCCACCCAATTATTGGTGAAAGAATATGGCTGAGGCAATCAGTGTGAGGAACTGGTAATCCAGTGGGGCAGTGCTGAGCTGATTAGTTTCAGGGATTTGCAAAAACAAAAAAAAAACACACAAAAAAAACCTTCCCATCATTGTGGTTTCTATGACCCAAGAGGTGTTTCAATAAGTAGGTTCAGAAAGTAGAGGATGTAACACAAGAGACACTTGAAAACTTAGGAGGCAGTCCTTTCCTTTCCCTATAGTTTCCTGGTTCACGGTGGGCATGTGGGTGAGGAGACCAACTCAGGGTTGCTCTTGCCCAGGGCCCTCAGCTGCTGTAGGATGTCCTGGGACAACACCCCAGACATTCCACGGCCCTGAGTGCAGAGGCCGCCCAGAGGGCACTGGTGAGGGATGCACTCCCCACATCTCAGTGATGCCCCGAGGCTGAGCTCCTTGTGGGCACAGGAAACCAGGTGTCCGAGGAGGAAAGGCTGTGCGGTCACACCGTGTACCGGCCCTGCCTCTCACTCTCTGTACGTGGATGCTTTGATACCTGGGGCCTTGCTCACCTTGGGGAGACCGCCCCTCCCAGGGCTACCTAATTCCTAGAGACAGTAGACACTTTGCAATGGAAGACCAACCACTTCGGAGCCCTCCCCACACTGCCTCTTTCATCAGGTTCTGGCACTACAGGACCCTCTCACCTGCCCCCACCTCCCAGGGCCAGAGCCCACTGAAAGGAATCAAGCTAGCTGAAACTGGTTTGGCTCAGTGGATAGAGCATCAGCCTGCAGACTGAAAGGTCCCAGGTTCGATTCCGGTCAAGGGCAAGTACGTTGGTTGTGGGCACATCCCCGGTAGGAGGTGTGCAGGAGGCAGCTGATCGATGTTCCTCTCTCATCGATGTTTCTAACTCTCTATCCCACTCCCTTCCTCCCTGTATTTTATGTTTTATTTAAGAAATCAAAAATATATATTTTTTTTTTTTTAAAAAAAAGGAGTCAAACTAGCCAATCCCAAACCTGCTCCCTCTGTTCCCAGGAAACCCCAATAAAAGCTGATGCCCACACACCCCCACCATCACCACCACTCTGCCCTCCACCTGGCCCTGGGACTTCCCAGGATGGTCCTGCCCGGGGAGGCCTGCCCCATCTTTTTGGGAACTATGAGTAACACATTATCTTCTCAATATCAGTCATGGCATGACCCCTGGGCCTGGCTGTTCCCACGTTTTCTGTCTCTACCCTGTATTTTGAACACCGGGCCAGATGAAAACTATCTTGATGACATGTTTAAAAACTTTCTATTTCCATTCCTAATTCCAAACTAGAGGAGAAAGAGGATCACACGGTGATGCTGTGGGATGTACAACAAGGCATCTACTTTTTTTTTTTTTTTTTTTTTTTAGGGCTGAGCAGTACTCACTTTCGAGGGGAACCCGCACTTTGTGGGGGCACCCCGAAAGGCTGCGGTGGTGGGGGTACAGCCCGGTCACGTGGCCTGTGCCGTCGCACCCGGGGATGGGGCACTTGGTCTCCCTCCTCTCAGGCCGTGGCGAGTCTGCAGAGACACAAACGGAAAGATTGCTTCGGTTCTGCTCCTGCCCCTTCCCTTTCAACAGGATGGCCTTGTACGGTGCCATTCTCACTTCACTCCGTGTTGTCATCGTAAACATGCCTCTCGCATTGCCTTGAGGGAGACCCTCAGCTAAGACCTGTGGACACACACAAAACAAGGTTTTCAGTTTCCCTGGTTTCCTAAGCGAAGGCTGACCCGGGGCAAAGGAGTGTGAAAACGCAAGATGGCTTTCCGGTGCCTTGCCAAAGGCTGCAGTCAGAGCCTCATTGTGAGAAAGCCAGTCCCCACCACAGGATGCACAGCCCCCTGAAAAGGAAAAGAAAAGCAGTGAGAGAAAAGAAAGACTTTATTTAAACCAAAACCTAGCTCCTAATTGAAGGCGTCCGGAAAAAGCAAAGAAGCCACCATATTGGAGAAAGACATTCCTGGCCTTGTCCCTCACAAAGCCGGCGGCCCCAGGCCTCAGGGCCCAGCGGCCCAGCGGCTGCTCCCGGGACCTGCTTCAGAGCCAGGAGGGGGATGCCAGCAGGCCATCGGTGCGTGCCCAGTGCTGCAGAGGCCCGGGTTCCAGAACACCAATGGCTCGCCATTCGGGACCTGTATGCAGTGGCTACAGAAAGAGAACTGCTAGTTTTACTCTGAATGCAAACGCTAAAAGCAGAGGCCCCAGGAAGGAGGTTTGGCAAAGCGCCATTCTTGCGGGAGACTTAGAGGGAATGGAAGCATGGCCTGGGGGTGCTGCCAAGAGCAGAGGTGGGGGCGCGGGTCCCAGGCACAGCCAGGCAGGGACCAGGGACAGCTCGGCCAAGGGAAGGCTGAAGACACACCCTGGGTTTTAATCTCCTGGCACACACATGGCTGAGGGTCAGCGAAAGGGTCAGCTAAATACAGAAAATGAATGAGAACAAACAGGCCTACTCAGGAGGTGAGAGAGGCCTTCTATGGAATTTTCATGTTTGTGGTTGAGATGGCAGGTAAACTTCAAACACAAATGCATTCTTATAGCCCAAACGGCCCCCCTCACGAATGCATGGGATGAAAAATAATGAAAATAAATAAGCTGTCGGCGATGGGATTGTGGGTGCAGGGCTGGGGGGGAAGGGGGGAGGGACAGAGTCCTGCCTGGCAGATGCGGAGGGAACATATGCTGCAGCCCCAAGCGTGGCCGGGGGAGCAGGGCAGTGTCCCCGGATGTGGCTGTGTCTCCAGAGCAGAAGACAGTGAGAGCAGACGTGCCTCTGGGAGAGCATGCCACCCCAGTTGGTGGAGTGCAGGCGGTCCTGGGCAGATGGGCACAGCAGGTTGTCTGTAATGCAATTATTTGGGGGGGAAAGGTTTCAGCAAAGGGGGAGGAGCCAAGGATCCTGCACGCTGTCACTCAGGGGCTGGGGGCAGGGGAGCCCAAAGGAAGCTCCTATGTTAAGTGAGAAATGAGCAGAGGAAAGACAGGGATGCCTTGAGGTGCAGGCATTTGCTTACAGAGAGACAAGGTTTAATTAAATGCCATCATGTGGAGAATACACACTCTTCTGTCCGAGACAAAAGGGTCCTAGGAAGAGCTTCGCCACGTCCCGTGATTTCTGTGGAGATAGATTTTATTAAATCCAAAAATGTTGCCCACTTCCAGTCCGAGCTGGGCACGGACTCTCCAGGAGACCGCACGTCAAAGTCCTTGAAGTTTGCTGATAGCGGAACTCGGAGGGCTGACAGCACAGGAGAGAGGATTAGAAAAGAGGAGAAACAATGGGCCATTCGGAGCCTCTCCTCTCCTGGATCTCACCCAGGTGAGGCCACATGTCTAAGCCACGCTGAAAGGTTTGGCGTTGAGCGTGCCTCCTCTCTGCCACGCTCTCCGCGGACAGGGAGCCAGGGAGGGTGTGGGAGATAAGGCGGGCTGGCTGCTGACCAGGGGCGGTCCCCTGACAGCCGGTCGTCTGCAAGCTCTTTTCTGCGGGTGAAACGAGATGCTGATGGAGCGCTCTCTACAGGGCAGAGCCCGTGTGCGGGCCCAGAAGCTGCATAAGGACCCTATCTCCTGGTGGCTCTGCATCCTGGCTTGTCTGGGACTGTCCTCATTCACAGCTGATACACCTGTGCGGTTGTTCACATCACGCCCCTTCGCTCTGCGAGGCTGAATCACGCATTATACAGTGACTCCACTTGTGTTTCGACGTAAAGTCTCACAGGATGCTTAGTGGCAACAGGGTAGTCAAACTTAGTTTTAGAATTGCTGACTCATCTGAAGTCTTGGGTAACATGGTATTTTAACATTCTACTGTTCTCTCCTTAACAGCTGTCACATGCCCACAGTCTACAGAAAAAGAGGAGGATTTTTTGAAGAGCGTGGCTATCATTTGGGAAAAGTGTTGACTTAGAAGCATGAAATTTATGACAGAGAAAAAAGTACCCCTCACGCTGCTGGCTCCCAAATCTATAAAGAGGGACAGGAGAGTTAGTACTTAATTTGGACTCTGTAGGCATTCTCTAGGCTAGGGGTGTCGAACTCAATCAGAGAAGGGGCCAAAATCTAAAATCCAGCCTAAATCGCGGGCCGAATGGTTTACTGAACAGTCATAAACTGTCATTGTGATGGAAACGCAGCGGAGTGCAGTGATGACAGCGCAGTGCGGGCCACATTGCAAGGCCTGGCGGGACGGATTTGGCCCGCGGGCCTTGTGTTTGACACATGTGCTCTAGGCCAAACCTACAATTTCCCTGAGTTCCACTTCTTTTCCCCTCTCTGCTAGATGCTAACCTGGTCTGGATCTTCCTTGCATAGGCTTTCTACATCTCAAGGCAGTACAAGGCTCTACACAATAAAAAGTACTATTGACGCATGAGGCAGCATTCATAATTCAGTAAATCTCCAACATGATCCAAGTCTACAAGCACAGATTCCAATGCCTTGTTAATTTTTGGAAGAAAAAAAATAGTTTCAAACAATCTACAAAATTGACCCAAAGATCATCAAGTATTTCAAGCTGTAGCACAAATAATTAACATTTCTCCAAACACTGGATTTTATTGGCTGGAAGATTTCATCAATTATAAGATGAAACAAAATGTTTGTGCTAGTAAGAAATAAAAAAAAAAACTACTAAAATTAAATTATGGCACATCCTTTGATTTTAGAGATATTGAACTAGGAAACTATCTTAGGATGAATGAAATATGATATATTAGATATTATGAGTTGGGGGAATTGGAAGTAAATTTCTTTTTTTCTGGCTTGTACTTTATTTAAAAAAATCAAACAAACAAAAAACAAAACACGCAGATAAATCCAACAGTTGCATATTAGTGGAGTACACAGAGCTAAATAGAGTGTCCTGTCCCAAACCACACACATGTCATTAATATTCTGTCCCATCCGAATCCTGGCAGTACGTTTGCGTAGCATTATCTTGTTCCTCACTATGTGACATCATCTTATTCTTTTCTGCTTTCTCGGCTCTAAGCTGCAAGGCAATGCCTAACAAGATTGCAGATGAATACTAAAATGGACTTAAAATGACAAAGCATATCATTCATTTATGCAAAAATAGCAACCGAACATCTAAATCTTCTAATAAGCACCACCTTGACTGTTCGCTGGTTCTGTGGTAACCAGCCTTCTGGATGTCCAAGAATCACTTGACAAACTTGCTTTAAAAATGTCAAGTTCTGAAGCAGTGAGTCTGGTGAGATCCTGGAAATACCCATCTTACACAGCTTTCCAGATACTGATATCGCACCATTTGGGAAACTCCGCTTAGCTCTAAACATCATCATCATCAGGCCCAGCTTGGGCGAGGCTGGGGGTGGAGTGGGGGAGGGGATTATCTTTATGGGAGAGAAAACACAATTTCCCTAAAGTCTGAGGAGCAAGTTTAAGCTTATTTACTCTCTCATTCAAGCTTGGCCCAGATTTTTGTGGACTCTGAGTTAGAGAGCTTGTAAAAAGCATAGGCTTATAAAAGCATTAGCAGCCAGTTTTATCCTAAGAAGGATCAGATAGAAGATCATCCTGCTTGACTTACAAGTAGTTTAACATTATTTTTTATTATTATCATTAATTTCAGAGGAAGGGAGAAGGAGAGAAAGATGGAAACATCAATGATGAGAGAGAATCATTAATCAGCTATTTCTTGAACATCCCCCAATGGGGATGGAGCCCAGGACCTGGGCATATGCCCTGACCAGGAATCAAACCATGACCTCTTGGTTTATACCTAGTTGATGCTCAACCACTAAGCCACACTGGCCAGGCTATTTTGAAGCTTAAAGACAGTCAGATGATCCCAGAAAGAGGGTGGGAAAGAAATAATAAATTTTTGGAACTGACTCGATTAATGTGATGATTTAAAATCCAGTAAGTACTAAAGTACGTCTAGTGTGCAATAAAGTTCTTTTTAAAAAGTACTATATAAATTAAAAGAAACAGAAGCAATGATCCTTTTATCGTGGGGTCAAAACACTACACAACTGACCAAGCTTGATCTCAGAACACTTTAGAGCGTAAGGAAACAAAAAAGAAATTGCTTATTTTATAATATAAAATATAAGCTAGCTTTCAAATCGTGTTAAGTTGTCAAAACAGCTATCTGGAAGAAGGAATCAAGTCTTCACTGATCTTTTTTCTTTTCTTTCCAACCCTAACGCAATTTTATTTCTAAAGTAAATGCAAAGCCATGTCTTACGTTTACTGTGAAAGATCTGCCTTCCACCCACGTCCATGGCTTTGGTGTGCCTCCTCTCCCCCGCCAGGTGCTCCAGCAGGAACCGGTCCAGCTCTCTGTAGGTGTGATGGAGCACACAGCCTCGCTCGGCCTGCAGGGCGATGGCCTGCTCCAGCAGACTCAAGTTCCCCTTCGCCTTCTCCAGGCCCACAGACTCTTCCGTCATCACCGCCAGGCACTGCTTGTCGTCCTCCTCGGCCCCGGGGAAGGAGGCCTGCACTTTGCCACCCGACGCTTCTGCGTGAGCGTGCTGCGGGTCTCCCCTTTCGAGGTCAGAATCGCACCTGTCTTCACACGAGGCAAACCTGTCACCTTCGGTTTTTATTTCGGTGACATCCAGCATGTCTTTCCTGCTGTCCACCAACATGTACTCTGGGACTCTGCGTGGTTTGGTTTCTTCTGAGAAGTTGGAGCCACTGTCCCAGCCGTTCTCCGTACCCTCCGAGTTGCTTTCGCTGTCGGAGGAGGAGGAGGAGCAGAATCTCAGCTGGGAGTCGCTGGCTTTGTCCTTCCCATCGTCGGAATGAGTGAGAAAGCACTCGTCGACTTCGTCGCTCTCTGCTTTGAGAGACTGGATGCCGCTGTCATTTAAGTTTTCATTTGCGGTCTGACCAGAGGCACTTTTTTCAAATGGCCCCAAGTGCATTAAGGATTTGACCACGAGCTCTTGGTAGCAGCCGTATCTGTCTTCCCTCCCGTGAGAGTTTTCTTGTGCAGTTGAATGAACACTGTCATCGATCGGTTTTGCCATGATTTCTTCTATGGGGAAAAAAAAGAAAAACCACACACCAACATTTGAAAGACAAGAACAAAAATAGTTCATGGAAATTATTCTAAGAAAATTATTTAAACGTGTTTAATAATTAAAAATTACTTAAGAAATATTTTCGAAAATACTTCAACCATACATAATGTATACATAAACATGTATATATAATATGTGAAATATGTGAATATGTAGGCTCTATTAATTTTGAAAGAATTAGGGAGAGAATATATATCTTCTTAAAATAAAACTTAGAAGACCTTCATATTCTGAAAATTAACTTTTAAAAAAAATGAGCTATTAGAATTTTTAGTATTAATATATTAAGAACTAAGAACTTCTAGGGTACTGAAGTCCATACATAATAGTAACAGAATGTTGAATATGAAATTGTTGTTACTTTACCTCTTATATTTGCAAATCTTAGCCACCTAAAAGGAAATCAAGTATATATAATGCTGTGCATTACAAAGGAAACAGCTATCAGATTTCTCTGTTAGCTTGGCAATATATCTTCCAAAAGCCTATTTGGTTTCAGTTTTCTGCCTTCAGAGCTTTTCAAACATACTTTCCGATTTTATGGGATTTTTGCTAAAATAGGAAATTCACCTACATGATGATAACTAAACAAGTTCTGAAAGCTTTCTCGATTTCCTGACCACTTTCATAATAGTCACCCGGAAGTTCCATGTGGAAGGAAATACTAGCGAATGGGGAGCATCAGCATGATCGAATAACATCTCAGCTAGTAACACAGTTCCTGGTCTGGTGCTTCGTGCATTTATGTGAAAAGGAAAGGAGATGGGGATGTTTGGAGGATGCGGAACGCTAACTGGTTGTTCCTGGTGCAGGACCAGCTGGGATCTTGGCAGTCATGGGGCCCATGACTGAGAACAGGCCCCTGTGCTGGTCTGCCTAGGACAGTCCACTGATCTCCCTTGTCCAAGGACAACTGTTAGCGTCACCCCCTTTCCTTCCCAGCAATGGCCCAGTGGGATTGTGTGTGTGCCTGCGTGTGTGTGTGTGTGTGTGTGTGTGTGTGAGTGTATGTGTGTGTGTACGCACATTCATGTGAGTGTGAGCTCTTGTTTGAGTGTATGTGTGTTCATGTGTGCATGTGTATGTCTGTGAGTGTGGGTGTGTATGTGTGTGGTGTGTGTGTCACAGTGCAAACACACCAATGAAGGGTCGGGTTATCTGGTGACCTAACCCTTGCCCAGCTCAAGGTGTACTCAGCGAGCACAGCACCCAGCACATACCAGGCTGTGAAATGGCCAGGCAGCCCAGCAATGCTTCCTTTAGTGAATACTATGACATAAAAGAGGAGGAGGAAGAAGAGGAGGAGGAGCAGGAGGGGGGTGAGGGACGGGCAACACACAATAATCAGCTACCTTAAAGACTGCTAAGGACACCAAGCGAAGTGCATTCTGTGTTAATAAGCATCTTTGGCGGGAAGGAAAGCACAGCCATCCCATGTGAGGGCTGTGGGCGAGGGTGTCTGAGCAGAAGACAATGAGCCTTTTTTTGTCTCGTTTAATTTTTTTTTTCATAAACATTGTCTCTGACAAGGACACTCAAAAATACATCTCCATCATCTTCCTTTCTGGTAATTATCTCCCTAAATCAACACTGGACTGCCAGGATCAAGTAAATATTGCCATAGTAACTAAAAGCATTTTTGGATGAAGGGAAGAATTTAGTCACAACACTAGCCCCTTTAAATAATGCTGATTATAGGGTGCAGGCTTTTGTTGGGATCTATTCAACACAAACTGAAAAATTCAACATTTCACTTCCTAGAAAAGAGGCTGGATAAACAAGCACATAATGTTTGCTAGGACGGTCTATCCTCTCCTGAATTCCTATCAGAGGAACTCCAGGTTTAAATAATATATTAAACATAGTCTAAAATGCAAATGAAGTTTTTCTCAATATCACGGCTGGTGATTAAGAGAAAGTGTAAAGGGTTATGATGATTTTAAAGTATTATGAACTACGGAAAACAAATAAAAAGCGTTTTCGGTGAATATGCTCAATTCATTGAACTATTCTCTCACTCCACTTAACTACCCACATGTGTACAATAATGATTTATAGACATTATACCTAATTATGCATATTTGGGCTGTGGTAGAGTGCTAACAAAAGCTCTAGAAAGCAACAATTACCTCTGTTGCTTAGCTACATAGTTTAAAATATTCCTATTAAGTGCAGATCACCAGAGAGGCGGGAGTGACAAAAATGCACATGTGCGCGACAATGCGCTTCACTGTGCGGCTGCCAACCGCTAGCATTTTGGGTCATTTCCAGTTTCCATAATTGCTTGGTTCAACTGTTTGTTATATGCTAAAAGAAAATATTTATTAATTATTCTTCAGAAAGAGAGGAGTCCTGCCGACAGCCATGGCCGCGCACGAAGGTTTCCAGGGAAGGCCTGCAAACCTGCAACCAGCTTCCTGTGAATCCCTCTCTTCCTGTCATTATGGGGGGGAGAGGGGGGGTTAGGGGGGCCATTGAGTGAGCCTTTGAACCCGACAGAGCTGTGACGGACTTGTTTCTCCTGGCTTTGTCACGGGCTGCCTGCTTCTTTATTATACTGGTGTGTTTCTATTGCCCAGGGTGGCCTAGGGACTTAGTTTGTGCTTCTGCCACTGACATACTAGAAGATTTCTGCCTTAAATATCAGGGGAGCCTAGGTCTGACGATGGGCCTGACGTGTATGTCTGTTGAAACTCCAACAGGTCCCTAACCTTTCTTATTTTTAAAAAAATATATATTTTATTGATTTTTTTTTACAGAGAGGAAGAGAGAGGGATAGAGAGTTAGAAACATCGATGAGAGAGAATCATCGACCAGCTGTCTCCTGCACACTCCCTACTGGGATGGGAATGTGCCCGCAACCAAGGAACATGCCCTTGACCAGAATCGAACCCGGGACCTTTTGGCCCGCAGACTGACGCTCTATCCACTGAGCCAAACCGGTTTCGACGGTCCCTACCTTTCTGATCCTGGTGCCCTCACTCACACAGGGAGGCGCCTGCAGACAGGACGGGGGAGCGCGTGGAAAGCAGGTGACACCCCACGGGTGCTCGGTAAGGACGGCTCTCTCCCCCTTTCACTGGGTACTGTTTTTGATGATAGCAGTGGTCGGCAAACTCATTAGTCAACAGAGCCACGTTTGATTTCAACGATTGAATTTCAACAATTGAAATTTCTTTTGAGAGCCACATTTTTTTAAACTTAAACTTCTTCTAACGCCACTTCTTCAAAATAGACTCGCCCAGGCCGTGGTATTTTGTGGAAGAGCCACACTCAAGGGCCAAGAGCCGCATGTGGCTTGCGAGTCTCGGTTCGCCGACCACGGGTGTAGACAGACTACATGGAGCCTCCACGTAAGCGAGATGGAGCTTGCTTAGCACATGGAAGGCACAGGGTGTAGTTTTGACATTAAGTGGATACAAGCTCGTTACCTGAACTCCCAGGAGCACTAGGCCCTCTCCAGCACCTGCACTGCTCCCTGAAGACACAAGGGGGCGCACACATGGCCGGGGGAAAGCCTTGGAGCACCAGCAGTCAAGGAGATGAGAGAGGAGAAGCCCTGGCCCTGGGGCCTGGGGACCAGCTTAGCTCTCTCTCCTGCCAAGGGTGGGGGTAACTTGCTCAAAGGGCTGAAGAAAACTTAGAGTTTTGCTCTTTTGACCAGAGAAAGGAGCATCTGTGACCTGTCATTTCTGAAAACGTTGACCTAATGTTGCAGAAACTTTGCGCAGTCTGCTTTCTGAGGGGGGTCGGGGCTTGGGGAGAGTTAGACGCTGAAGCGTGGCTAGCTAGTTATTTTGCTTATTCTTCAGTTGTTTCCTAATTATGTCCTTTTCAACGCTGACAAGCTGCATTACCTTAAGCATTCGATCTCCTTGGCCCTTAATCATCATGTCTGTAAAATTGTGTCCATAATCACACACATGTCATTGCTGGGTTGCTTAAGTGATATAACTTAGTTGCCAAGAATATAAATGGACACAGACAACAGGGGGGTGAGGACACGAGTGAGGGGGTTGAGGGGATAATGGGGGGATAAGGACACATATATAATACCTTAATAAAGAAATTTTTAAAAAAAAATTCTACTAAGAAAAATAATATATTAAAATTTCAACAATAATGGCCACTACTTCTGGAATTTCAGCATATTCATTGTTATTAGTCATGATTCTGCACTAAGTATAAAAAAATAGGTAGCATTTGTGAACCTGCAAATAGATGTCCATCAGCACTTATAACTGAAATTTTAACTGAGCACCTTTTGACAGTCTATTTTCTTGGTAAATACTAAGCATCTACAATGGTTACACCATCAGTGGGCAGATACAGTCCAAGTCCAACCACACTGATTCAAGGGCTTTCTAGATTCTATCTGCAATTTTCATGAATCAACAAAAATCTAACCAACTCAAGGAAACAAATGAAAAAAAAAGTCAAATATGATTATAATTTACAGATGAGCCATGAGGCTTTAAGCCACATGTTAAATATAGGAAAGTCAGGACATTTACTTAAACATCATCAAATCAGAATATAAATATTTTTTTAACTATAGAATCTCAAACTACTTGTAAGCCAAGATTGCTGGAGATCTATTGAGTGCGATCTGAGATTTGTGCACACTCATCTTTCATATGCTTTTACATCTTTTCTGTTGTCACCTATTGCTATTACTATCTTTCTACACAAAATAGATATTTATGATCTAACACTCTTGTTGCCTTTGGTTTGTATAATATACTAGAGGCCTGATGCATGAAATTCAGCCCTGACTTCGTCCAGAAGGTCATTCCGCTGTTCGATCTAATTAGCATATTAGTTCTTTATTATATAGGATACTTATTTTTCAAATAACAATTCATTTGGTATATTTTGATTCCTATAAAGTCACATTTAGAAAAAAAAATGTGTATTTGATTCAGAATACCTAATTTCATTTTCTAATATGTCAAGCTTTATATTTCTTTTTTTTAATATAATTTTTGAGATACTTTGAATGTCCTTTAACTTCAGCCTCATGCACAATGTGGTTGGTAGTATTCTGACTCCCAGAGGCACGGTGACTACTGGGAGTAACTATGAACTATGGACAAACATCCTAAAATTCTGAAATTGTAACTACATATAACTTGTAATGCAAACAGCATTTAATGAGTGAAGAACTGAATTTGTGAAACATAATGTGTGCTTATAGGTAAATTAAATTGATCTTAGTTTGGAAATAGTTTGGAAATACTGGGCACAGTAACAAATTTTCTATATCATTTTTCTAGAGGGAAAAGCTAGATAGCCAACTTTATGTGCTTCTGCAATCCGTTGCTATATTTTTTTTAATGTTGAAAAAATTAAGGTTGCATTCCACCTGCATTGGTCCATGTTATCACTAATTATATTTTGAGGGTATATATATATATATATATATATATATATATATATATATGTGTGTGTGTGTGTGTGTGTGTGTGTATGTGTATATATACATATATATAACAAAAATATGTTTTATTCATGTATATCATATCTTACATCTCCTCAAGATTAAATCTGTCCTTTTATTTTGAAAGGTTCTTTCAGGCATTAGACATCTACCTTATTTGGGAGTCAAGGTATTCATCAGCTTTCAGGCTTAGTGTCTCTTATATTCTTCAAAAAGAGGCACAGTCCAACCCCGAATTTTGAAAATGAACTCAGGGCAAGGCCTCCCCCACGCTTATCTTTAGACATCCCATAGTCACAGATAAAAATCAGCCCTCAACAAATGGATCCAACATGAAATAAATAATTAATTTGCTTCCAAATTCAGACACACAAGCTGTGTGTGCTCTCCAGAAGCTCAGACTGAGTCTTCGGGGCCTCAGAGCAGATACAGAGCTTGGGCCCCTCCTTGCTACCTGTGGTCGGGTGAGCGTTGGTCCCCAGCAGGCCGTTGTCCTCCTCCGCCTCCGTCCTGGTATCAAGCCCCTCCTGGCCGTTCACGTTTGGGCTGTAATGTCTGGGCTTCATCAGCAGGGACTTTCTCTTATTGATAGGGACACCTGAGGCCTGCTCTTCAGCTCTCCTCTTCTTTGCCGCGGAGCAATCATATGCCATGCTGCAGTGATTGAGGCAAATGAAGAACATGGTGAAAGAGTATACTGCTATTTGCCTTTTGATGTTCATGAGTATGACTCCAAGTTCATGGGAACTTGGAACTAAAAGTTCAGGGTTTGTGGTTGGCATGAAAGAAAACAGCCCATCCACTGAATCGATTATGGATTCTATTTTACTGACTATCAAAGAGGGTTTTAAAAAAAAAAAAAAAATCATCCTTAATCCTGAGTAAGCATATGTTAATCTGTGCTTTGCTTGGCACTACACTAAATACCCAGAGAAGGATGAAACAAGATTTGCACTGGCCGGCTAATCCCGAGAAACAGCTAATGTGAAAAATTACCAATGGATACAAAAACAAAAACAAAAAATCACATGTCCAACGTGGATAAATTGCAAGGTTTTTCAATAGTTGTTTGTTACCCAAACTGCTTATCTCTGCCACAGTTGCACATCAAACTTGGGATGCCACATCTTGAGCTTTGAGTTGAAAGAAAGGAGAAGGAAAGGGGACATTATGAGCATTTAATTAGCCCATCTCCAGAAGACCCCTCACCCCAAAAAAGTGAAAAGATGCTATGTGGCATTCTATTTTTTAATTCTCACCCTTTTAGCACACAGAACAAACACATAAAAGGAGGAGAAATAAGATTGGATTTCACAAAAATGGACAACAATTTATTCTTACTCCTGTTTTCATATCGTTTTATTTGAAAATGCTCCTGTGCATGGCCCTTTCAAATAGATTTTCTGCAAACAGCTCACTCAGATTTACTGTAGATCACTTTATGCATTGAAGCTAAGACGAGCATTCTCTTGGCAAGATACAAGAAGAGCAGAGGGTTTAGGCAGCAGTGAGCCTCAAAGTAATACGTTATTCTTTACTCTGTCACTAAAAAGCTGATGAAATGCTCAGTCATGTTACTAAATAGACAAAGGCCTTAAGTTGTTCTCTTAGAAACATCAATGCAAAGATGGTGGCCCATTCATGAGGATTACTTGATTATAGTTATACATGAATCCTTCGATTTCAAAGAGTAGATTTTTTTTAAAATACCAGAAGAAAAAATACTATTTTTTCTACGGGGAAAAAAGATTCTCGAAGGAAAGATCACTTAAGATGGTTAGAAATCCCTCAAAAATAGATTAAAATAGAAGAATTTAAAATTATTCTGAGAAAGAGAAGGGTATAGTGCCTAAATAAGCTAATGTGCTTGTGTAAAATTTCTCTTGGGAGCTCAAATTTAAACTGACCATGTACAGAAGATGGAGCAAAAGATAAAATAACCAGAGAGCAAACAGGTGCCTTTATAAGAAGACTGCAGCAAACAGAAACTAATGGGCCAGAACCTACCAATTTGTCAAAGAAAAGAGCCTACAAATGTGGTTATGATAGAATGAGACCAAGCTCAGAGACACCGAACTACCCTGCCCCTTGCCTTCTTTGTCAAGGAGATTGACCTTTAAAGAAGGAGGGACAGAAAAAAAATAAATAAATAACAAAGAGAATAAATTTCCTAGTTAGATTTAAAAAAAAAAGAGTTCAAGAAATTTCCTAAATGAAGTCTCCTACTTCAAGTGAATTTCCATCAAAGATGCTCAGAAGAAATACAAGCCCGCTAAACCATTATCTCAACCTAAGAAGCTTTATAGACAAAATGAAAGAGAGTCCTAAAAAATGTCACTCAGATATTAAAGCAAGGGGGGAAAGTGGATTCTTAAATCCAATTTAAGCATAACAATGGAAAGAGGCTGAGAAAGTTTATGAAGATGAAGACATGTCAGTCCTGGAAACACAAATCAAGGAGACATGCGGAGGTCGGGATGGTTAAAAAGAACTGGTCGGTCAAGAAAATGTCGTTTTTCTTCCATGGTTGGGGTGATGAATGGGACTACACATCTACTACCTGTAACACCCTACAAACGGAGTCTTGTTAACATTGTTACCTACACGTACTTACAAAGTCAAATTACATTCCCCAAATCATACATCCAGTCATTGGTGGTGCTGATATTTAAATCCCAGTCTGCGGGCCCCAAGGCTCAGGCTCCCTCCTGCGTGTTGCCAAATCAGAGCAATGAACTTGGGGGGTTTCCGTGTGCACGTGACAGTGGGGTGAAGTGGTGCCAGAATGAACCAGCCACCCCTCTAACCGGAAGGAAGCTGCCTGCCTCCGGGCGTTGCTCCAGGATTGGGGTGCAGACATCTATGATGTCCATGCACTCTGGGGGTGCTGCTGACTTACAGTCATGAAAAGCATGCTGGGAAATGTAATTAACCCCCCCCCCCCCCAAAGTGTCCAGAGATGGAGCAGTGGAATGAAACTCATGAGGTGTCATTTAATGGCGATAAAACTCAAGATCAGTATTTGGATCCAAATAATAACGGTGTTGAAGACGAAGAGGAAATGCAAGGTTTTAGCAAAAGTACACACATTTAACTGGAAATAATGTTAGGGCACTTGATGCACTGGGTATGATGTCCCTTAAGTAATGTTAGCTGTGTAATCTGTAACATGTCATTGAATCTTTTGGAAAAACACTTTTTATATCACATGCTGTAGGTGGAAGGTAACATCCGGGCTGGTAAGAGCAGAAATAGGACAGATTAGAGCTGGTCTGACTCCCAGATCAGTGCTCTTTGGACTCCATCAACATCAGGCTGAGCTCCCCGCTCTGCAACAACACACACTCCCTCCCCAACACACTGTGCAGATTTATGCCTGCTTGCCTATCCATAAAGGCACTTTCCTCTTTTTACACATAATTTATATTTACATAAATTACATCCGATTTATACATAACAGTTGCTTTAAATCTCACACTCCGTGCACTTCTCTGTTGCAAAGTAGCCACGGCCCCGGACAGCATTTGGAGTTAAAATGGAAAGGCTTTGTAATCAATATTACCCTTTGTGTGCGTGTGGAAAATGGTCCCTTTCCCTCGTTTTCCCAGAGGGCACACTATTTTGGCTTTATTGTGACACTTCACTGTGACACTGCAATGAGGGAAAGCCATGCTTTACATGTCACTGAAAGAAATGTCACAAAATGCTAACATATCTTCCCAAGGTTGCCAGAAATAATTTCCACTGGGTTGTGTTTTCCCATCTGCGGAGCTCTGAAATGTTAAGGAAATAAATGAGCTCTATTATCTATATTTTTCTAGTCGATGAGAAAGAAAGAGAAAAAGACCCCTGCATTTATTGTTCTATTCAATCAAACTGTTGCTCGAAACATCCAGAGTCCTCCAGGGAACTTTATCAACGCACCAAATACCTTTCAATGCCACACTGCAAAGCTATGGTTGCGATTTTATTAAAATATCTGTAACATATCTGCATTTTTACCCAAAGGAAGTGTTTTGGTTACATCTTTAATAAATGCTTCCATTTAGAAACTCAAATACTAATTGGAAATCACATTCCCTCTGATGACAACATATGACTGAATTTTTATTTAACAAATGACTGAGGAAAACAGTAATTAGATAACATGAATGAACAAGTCAGTGCTGAAAATATATTTAGAAGTCAAATTCATTAATTTTTCAGATTTCAGAAAAAAGAGTACAACAAATTAGGGAACTGTAACCCCCAACATTTGTCCATTAAGTTCTGGGCTCCAGAACAGTTTTCTAGTTTATTTTCCAGAGTAATCAATTCTCAATGCAAGTTACCAGAAAATATCTTAACATATTTAAAAATGTAGCTTCAGCAATAGATATATTATGACAACATTTCACCAAAAGAATATAACAAAAGTGATTTGGAAGTTATTAATCCCTGAGTCCAAAGAAATTATTTACATGCTCCAATATTTCCATGGAAATTTCATAGTTGGTATTTCTACTGATTTCTTCTATCTAGGCAGAATACTACAGACTTATGGGGAGGTAGCAAAAACTATAAATTTGAATTAAAAAGAAAATAAAAAAGTATATGGTGATGGAAAAAGAAAAACTTAAACTATTATTTTTTCAGAGGCATGATTATGTTTGAGGAAAACCCAAAAGAATCGATAGATAAAACGCTAAAATAAAGAGGTGAATTTAGTAAAGTCACTTTAGAAAATTATTTGCATTTCTATAAAGAAGCAATAAAAATTAGAAATAATAATTTAAAAATAAAACTATACTATATAGAAATAAATACCTAGGAATAAATATAACAAAATATGTATAAAGTGAATGCAAAACAAGTAACATTTTGAGAAAATTAAAGACAAATAGAGAAGTATAAAATATTCATGGAATAAAGGGCCCAATATTGTACAATTTGAATTCTCCCGAAACTTATCTTTTAGATTTAATACAGTCCCCAGGAAAAAAAAAATCTCAAGAATAATTTTTTTTTAGAAATTAACAAGTTAATTCTAAAATTTGTATGAAAATGAAAAGCTCCATGAATAGCAAAGATCATCTCAAAGAAGAACAAGAACAAAGTTGAAAGACTTATTGTCTTGGATGTCAAAGTTTCTCATAAATCTGTAATACTTAAGATAGGGTGTTATTGCAGCAAGCATCAACAAATAGATCAATGAGACTGAAGAGGTAGATGCTCCATCTATTGGGTCCAGTCATAGCCTCACACATATGTGGTCAATTTATGACAAAGGTGTCATTTGGGAAGGGGCTGTTACTTTAATGAATAGCGCCATGTCACTGGGATACCTATCTGAAAAAACCTTGACTTCTACTGTATAGCAGATATAAGAAATAATTCCAGGAAAAGTCTGGATTTAAAGCTACTAAAAAAAAAAATGTGCAACAATATCCTCATGACCTTAGTGAATATTATAAAAAGCACTAGTTTTAAGGAAAAGACTAATTAGAATGGCTTAAAATTAAAGACATTACATTCATCAACTGAGACCAGTGCTTCCTATCAATATTCTGATTCTTCATCTGTTGACACAAGCATGTTTACATTGTGAAGATTCATTGAGCTCTGCTCTTAGGATATGTATAATACCTCCTTCCATTATGCCCTTCAAAACCATT